GATCCCCCACGTGTCATGTCCAGCATTTTTTGAAAATTAATGTGTCAGTATATCCGTGTCGTGTCCATACTTTTTAGTTAAAAAGTCTCATACTAAAAATGATAAAATTAAATTTATGAAATATATTAAAAATATGTATTCCTTAATCCATTGGACTAATTATTTTAAAAATAATAATTATCCAGGATTTGTAATTTTTAAATTTTAGTTATCCAAGTTTTAATCCTTTTTTTTTTTTTCAATATTCAACCACTACGGTAAAAAAAAATTATTTATTTTTGTTAAGTCACTGTCGTCCAGGATGTCTAGTGCAGTCATAGGTTAGAAAATGCTAGAACTTTTTTCATGCATCCTTTATTTTATTTTATTTATCTATCTATATTTTTTTTGGGCTTTGTTTGGCTTTGTCTTTATTCTTGCAATCTAAATATTCATTCTTTTCTTACTTCTTCTTCTTCTTTTTTTTTTTTTTTTTTTTTTTTTTTTTTTTTTTTTTTTTAAATCATTTGAACCACAAAAGAAGAATTTGAGTGGCGAGGTCATATTAGTATGCATTTATTTATTTCCTGAATGAAGTGACGTTTTATATCTTTGTTTTGAAAAAAAAATTAAAAGACTTCTAAAAACTGGTAAGCACTACCTAACATGTGAGAGCATCTCCAACGGTAGTAGGCATTTTACCTATCCAAAATATACTATAAAAGTATATTTATTTGCCTATCAACTGTTTTATGTTTTTACTCCAACCATGCTCTTTAATTAGCTATTTATCCAAATACTATTAATTTTATAGAATGTCACGTCAACAAAAAAGATGGAGGGAAATGATCCTAATGATTGAATACATTTTTGCCTAGCGTTGAAGGCTAGTTACATGTAGCTAGTGAATATGAGTTGAGCCAAAATGCCTAATCATATGCCTAGTGCATTGGAATTGAAAAAAGTGAATCACACTAGTATTTAACTAGTAACAAGTATTATATGCCTAGTGCATTGAAGATGCTCTCTACTGTTTAAAAAACAAAAAAATATACATGATCAATTATCTACTTTATTCTTTAATTGTAAAATTTTTAAAAATACAGTTTGTTCAAACACTATCATGATGAAAAATGAGACCCAAAAAATTGTTACCTCTATTAAAGATACATATACTTATCAAGAAGATACATAAATATTTAAGTGATAAATTTTGATTACCAAACTTGTCAAATGTATATTTGTTCAATAAATTCATTTTTAAATGTCAAATTTGATTATCAAACTACCTTTAATTAAAATAAAAAATAAAAAAATCATAATTCATTACACTCATTATTAATATATAAATTGAACATGTATCTCAACTATTATTAATAAATTATATTAAAAAAATGTTAAATATGAACATATTTGAAAATACAGATATCTTCTCAAACATTTTTTTTGTTTTTTTTTTTTGCCTTTCACCATTTGCCTTACCTTTTTCTGTCAACCAAACACATACAGTAAAAAAGCAACCCACCTTGCAGTAGCACCCCCAAGAGGAAGAGCTTAATTGTTCTCAGTATGACTTTCTTGGTAACGCTCGGTTTACTAGTTATTTTCTGCATCATGAAACAAGACATTTCGTGACTTGGCCAAGTAAATAGATATGTTCGGCTTCTGCTTGGCTTATCATGTTCATCGATTTACTGCCAAAAGACTTCAAATCCCTAGCCCTAGCTATAAAAATTAGAAAAAGACAAGTAGGAAATTAACTCTACAATTGAAAATCAATCCCTTAATAAATACCTTGAAAAACCAATCCGGTGGAAACACCAACGCCAAATAGGAAAAATGGCATCACAAAAGTCTGCGAGTGTCACTCCAAACCACGGAGAGTGGTTTATCGATGGGAAAGCTCCGCCAGCATCATCTACTAAAATCATCAACTGTCATGTCAACAAACAAACTATATATTAAAGTTTACTCCTTTTCTTTTCTTTTCCTTGAGAAACAAATCAATCAGTAATTGTCGAGGAGATTCTCGGTGACCAAACAGAAAGAGTTGTAAAGAAAATTTAAGATACACACACACGTACAGCGGACAGTGAGGCCTCGGAAGACGTCAGAGAGAGGCGAGCCGTTGATTCTGGTCAACAGATTTAGGTGTTGGTTCATCTGGCTCGTTCGATGATGGTGAAGGGACGATCTCTACGCTTTCAATGTCTGACGCTCTGTACGGAACCGGAGGTGATGAATTATTATGAAGGAGATGTGTTCGTTCATCTTCATCTGCATCTACCGCCATTGAAGACATCGATTCTACCAACTGTATCTGTAAGAACTCAAACTGATCTGAAAGAAACGCTCTGAGTTGAGTTGACCTCTTCGCTTCTCTCTACGCTCCTCTGGTGTCTTGTCTTCCTTCCTGTGCGCGGTTGTGATGTCAGAGTTCGGCTGGACCGATCTCGAGCCTACTTCGATGCCAATCCATTAAGAGAAGAGAAGAAGGGACAGAAATTATGGCCTGGTTAGTGTTTTTTCAAAAAAATTTTACAAATTTTTTTTTAAAATTAATCAAATTAAACAAATTTTTTTAATTTTTTTCTAAAAACTTGTTTAGTTTACAAGATTTTCCAAATAAATTCTCTCTCATACATATTAAATTAATTATTTTTTTTAAAATTTTCTCTCAAAATAATTTTTCAAAATATCTTTTGAAAAAAATCAAACCAAATAAATTTCGTATTTTTTACCTCAAAACATATTTCTTAAATACAAACCAATCAAGCCCTATGGCTTCGCGTTGATGGGCCTAGTGTCAAAGCAGCTCGATTGAGGTGCGGGTTGGTTACGTAAGCCCAATTTCATTTTATCTAGGCCCTAAAACCAGCCAAGCTTGTGCATTGCATTTGTCGGTTGGGCCCCAAATTAGTAAGCTTGGGCAACAAATGAAATCACATGCACGCCACAACAACTCCAAATAAATAAATAAATTACACTAAATTTTTTGAAAATTGAAAAAAAAAAATAGTGAATCTATTAAGTTTTATATTATAGCGATTTCGGTTTTGACCCGTTACTTGTACCTCGGATTTGGATTTATAATTTCTGAATGTTGTTCATTGTCTTTTGTTCTTTATTTCTCCTTAAATTTGGCTATTTGAGAATTTTAAGTATGTTTGGAACAGGTTGGTTACTTAATTTTCAAACCTTGTATTGCTCAGAATTTTAGTCTTCGCTCGAGCGAGCCTTTTTGCGCCGAGCGGGGTTTTGCAAACACTCAGTACTTTGCACGTCTGCAAAATATTGAAGGAGTGTTTTCCACGCTCGAGCGGCATTCCTACAGTCGAGTAGGTGGGCGCTCGAGCGTTCCTTCTTGTGCTCGAGCGTTTGTCTGTTGTCAATAAAAATATGAACGTGTGTATTTTGCGCTCGAGTGAATAAATTTATCTCTCTATCGGTGCCATGCCAGGCACTAAGTCAATAGAGAACTCAATCTCTCGGTGAGGTAGCAAACTAGTAAGGTCCTCGGGAAAGACATCTGGGTATTCACAAGCCACCCTTGGTAACTCAACTCGTAATTCATTACACTCATTATTAATATATAAATTGAACATGTATCTCAACTATTATTAATAAATTATATTAAAAAAATGTTAAATATGAACATATTTGAAAATACAGGCATCTTCTCAAACATTTTTTTTGTTTTTTTTTGGCCTTTCACCATTTGCCTTACCTTTTTCTGTCATACAAACACATACAGTAAAAAAGCAACCCACCTTGCAGTAGCACCCCCAAGAGGAAGAGCTTAATTGTTCTCAGTATGACTTTCTTGGTAACGCTCGGTTTACTAGTTATTTTCTGCATCATGAAACAAGACATTTCGTGACTTGGCCAAGTAAATAGATATGTTCGGCTTCTGCTTGGCTTATCATGTTCATTCGATTTACTGCCAAAAGACTTCAAATCCCTAGCCCTAGCTATAAAAATTAGAAAAAGACAAGTAGGAAATTAACTCTACAATTGAAAATCAATCCCTTAATAAATACCTTGAAAACCAATCCGATGGAAACACCAACGCCAAATAGGAAAAATGGCATCACAAAGTCTGCGAGTGTCACTCCAAACCACGGAGAGTGGTTTATCGATGGGAAAGCTCCGCCAGCATCATCTACTAAAATCATCAACTGTCATGTCAACAAACAAACTATATATTAAAGTTTACTCCTTTTCTTTTCTTTTCCTTGAGAAACAAATCAATCAGTAATTGTCGAGAGAGATTCTCGGTGACCAAACAGAAAGAGTTGTAAAGAAAATTTAAGATACACACACACGTACAGCGACAGTGAGGCCTCGGAAGATGTCGAGAGAGGCGAGCCGTTGATTCTGGTCAACAGATTTAGGTGTTGGTTCATCTGGCTCGTTCGATGATGGTGAAGGGACGATCTCTACGCTTTCAATGTCTGACGCTCTGTACGGAACCGGAGGTGATGAATTATTATGAAGGAGATGTGTTCGTTCATCTTCATCTGCATCTACCGCCATTGAAGACATCGATTCTACCAACTGTATCTGTAAGAACTCAAACTGATCTGAAAGAAACGCTCTGAGTTGAGTTGACCTCTTCGCTTCTCTCTACGCTCCTCTGGTGTCTTGTCTTCCTTCCTGTGCGCGGTTGTGATGTCAGAGTTCGGCTGGACCGATCTCGAGCCTACTTCGATGGCCCAATCCATTAAGAGAAGAGAAGAAGGGACAGAAATTATGGCCTGGTTAGTGTTTTTCAAAAAAATTTTACAAATTTTTTTTTAAAATTAATCAAATTAAACAAATTTTTTTAAATTTTTTTCTAAAACTTGTTTAGTTTACAAGATTTTCAAATAAATTTCTCTCTCATACATATTAAATTAATTATTTTTTTTAAAATTTTCTCTCAAAATAATTTTTCAAAATATCTTTTGAAAAAAAATCAAACCAAATAAATTTTCGTATTTTTTACCTCAAAACATATTTCTTAAATACAAACCAATCAAAGCCCTATGGCTTCGCGTTGATGGGCCTAGTGTTCAAAGCAGCTCGATTGAGGTGCGGGTTGGTTTACGTAAGCCCAATTTCATTTTATCTAGGCCCTAAAACCAGACCAAGCTTGTGCATTGCATTTGTCGGTTGGGCCCCAAATTAGTAAGCTTGGGCAACAAATGAAATCACATGCACGCCCACAACAACTCCAAATAAATAAATAAATTACACTAAATTTTTTGAAAATTGAAAAAAAAAAATAGTGAATCTATTAAGTTTTATATTATAGCGATTTCGGTTTTGACCCGTTACTTGTACCTCGGATTTGGATTTATAATTTCTGAATGTTGTTCATTGTCTTTTGTTCTTTATTTCTCCTTAAATTTGGCTATTTGAGAATTTTAAGTATGTTTGGAACAGGTTGGTTACTTAATTTTCAAACCTTGTATTGCTCAGAATTTTAGTCTTCCGCTCGAGCGAGCCTTTTTGCGCTCGAGCGGGGTTTGCAAACACTCAGTACTTTGCACGTCTGCAAAATATTGAAGGAGTGTTTTCCACGCTCGAGCGGCATTTCCTACAGTCGAGTAGGTGGGCGCTCGAGCGTTCCTTCTTGTGCTCGAGCGGTTTGTCTGTTGTCAATAAAAATATTGAACGTGTGTATTTTGCGCTCGAGTGGAATAAATTTTTGTGTCTGACGCTCAAGCGTTAATTCTTCCGCTCGAGCGGACTGTGCATATATCAGGTCGCAAAAGTAACATTTTATATCACTTTTCTATCCTTCCCTTTCTCTAAAACTTTCTAAAAACCAAAATCTTGACCCTCTCTGTGACGACCCTCACCTGTGATTACTGCTAAACTGTGACTAAACATGATAAGTAACTGATTAGGATGAAATCCTAAACTAATTGCATGAGTATGTTGTTTGATTGCATTTCTATCTGTTTGTCAATTGATTGATCTGTTCATGTTTTAAGTTTTGAACTGCAAATTGAAGGCCTTATCGGCGATCGAATCAGAAATTGATTAGTGTTTAATGCTAATTAAAATTTGTGTGATTTTATGGTAGGTTTAATTTAAATTTGATTTGGAACGATTAAATTAAATTAAATAATATTAAATTACATTAGTTCAAGTTTATTACAATTTTGTCATTGAGTGGCCATTTCCTATACACTTGTTTGGGACTTAATTAGTACATTCCATACATCATTTCATCATCCTTCTTGAGACCAAAACCGTGAGCAAGAGAGGGAGAGTAGGAGAGCTTTGGTTTCAACAAGAATTGCTTGGAGAATTAGAAGAATTGAAGAGTAGATTGCATAATTGAGCTTCTAGACTTGAAATTGAGGACCTAAGGTAGGATATTTATCCTTTAGTTTATGAATTCAAGTTGGTTCTTGCATGGTTCATGAGTCATTAGTGATCTAAGTCAAGAATTGGTTTAAAGAGTTGATTTGAGTAGCTAAATCATGCATGCATGTACACATTGTTGAGTTTTGAGGTTGATTTCATGGAAATCCTCACATGCATGTCTATATTCTAGCTATGGTCCATGAATTCATCATGTTTCTGAGCGAATTAACTCATTTCATCAAGCATTTGAAGCTTTGATTTCAATTGAACACTTGCATGTTACATATACATTATGTTCATGAAGTTTTGTTTGGATTTGTGTTTCATTGAACTACCTTTGGGCTTTGATTTTGCAAATTGATCTTTGAAACATGTCATACTATGAGTTTTAAAGTATTTTCCAGAAAATTGGCCCAAAAGAATCAAATTTGATGCTTTAAATGTTGAATTTTGTGCTTGAGGTTCAATCTGGAAATTCTAGATTTTGGACCCACGCTCGAGCGGAGGACTTCACGCTTGGGCGTACACTCTGAGTCTTGCACTTCCGCTCGAGCGTAGGAAGCTACGCTCGAGCGTGAAATACATATGCCCAGAAGTTCATTTGTTTTGCAGTCCGCTCGAGCGAGGGACTTCACGTTCAAGCGTGAACCTGAGTCTTATGCTCGAGCGTGTATCGAGCGCCCATCGAGCGTGATTTTTGTGCATCCAGTACTTTTGCCTGAGTTTGCAGTCCGCTCGAGCGGGGAAAGTCACGCTCGAGCGGAGCTCCTTTGTCTGCATGTCTGCTCGAGCGTAGAAAGCCACGCTTGAGCGAGACCCCTGTTTTCTGAAAAATTCTGAAAAGTGTTTTAAAGTGCATCTTTGCATCCTCATTCCATCCTAATTATTCCTAGGCCTACTTTAAGGCATCTTAATGAGGATATTGATAATGAGGATATTGATATAGAACCACACCGAGTCAAGATAGGGACTAAGTTGTTGATTCCCAAGTGTGTAACTTAGTGTGTGTTCGTTCTGTAACTGTGTAGGGTTGGCATCCGCTGACGTTCATTAGCTGCTTATAGCCTAGTGCTCTGTGAGTAACAATGTTGTAAAGATATATTCAATTATGAATATTTTCTGAATGATCAACTGTTCTGTTTACTGAAACATTAATGTTTAATGAATGAATGCTTGTCCTAATTGTAAACTGAATTCGTGGTATCCATAGCAATTTACTGTTACTGTACTATTACTGCTACTGTCACAGAGATCTCTGTCGGTTCTCATGTTTGGAACCACTACTGTTTACTGTTATGATGGTCATCAACTGACTGTTCGGTCTGTTAAGACCTACTGTACTGTTTTGCTATTGGATGTACCACATATGACTGCTATGGTTTCTAAATGACTGATATGACTGTTAAATTATTGAAAGGACGTTCATTCTTAACCTCTTTACACAACTGTTATTCACTGGGCTTTACCTCACTGTTTATATATATATGTAGGTGTCCAGGCACCGGACCGGAGCTAGGAGCGTCGGGTTAGCTCTCATTTTGTCAAGCCAACCATTGTGCCTTACCTCGAAGTTCCAAGTCTGACCGAGCTAAGGTTGTTTTAGGGTGTCACAGTTTCACCCTTCCGTCTCTGTTTGTAATACTGTTTAAGACTTGTACTGTACTGTGCTAATTAGGGATTTGGTCCCTGACCTGGATGTTTGTACATATGGTGTATATGTATTTTGCTTATGAATGTGAATATGTTCAGAAAAGTCTTTTTGCATACAGACTGTCACAGCTCATTGGACATCTTTTATTTACTGTTTTGGCTTCTGCCAGCCCCTTACTCTGTATTACTGTCATTACTGTTAAGCAGGCCTTCGGTAATCACGGATTACTGGCCGGTTACGATGCTTAAACCCATAGGGACGGGTTTGGGTTGTGACAGAGTGGTATCAGAGCGATATCAAATCACGAGTTATATCACACACACGTGTCCAAATGAGCTATAGGATGCCCTAGAAAAGCGATTAGGACATTGCATGAGCATTGAAAAAGTGTGTGTGGCCGTGACATGAATATTTGTGCTAATGTGTTTAAGTAAGCAATTCCTATGTTTATTATTGTTGTATTGCATATAGTGAAATGAACAATGCAAGGACTACTGCCGATGAAACAGAATCATCTGATGCCAGAATGGCAAGATTGGAAAAAATAGTTGAACTGTTGACCGAGGCCTTAAGGCTGCAACAGAACCAACAGCCCCCAGCTCCTCCAGTACAACCCGAACAGAATGTTAATAAGGATATAATTGCTCTAACACAGAAGTTCAGCAAAATGAAACCACTATCCTTTTAAGGAGGCCTTGAACCACTAAAGGCCGAAGCATGGGTGCTAGAAACGGAGAAGTTGTTTGAAATGTTTCCGTGTTCTGAGGCACACAAAGTGTTACTAGCTACCTTCACTTTACAGAAAGAGGCCAGACGGTGGTGGATGCTTGTCTGTGACACCAACAATGTTATGACTTGGGCTCAGTTTAAGGGAGCCTTCTTTGAGAAATATTTTCCTCTGTGTGTCAGGGATTGTAAAGTAACTGAATTTGAACAGTTAAAGTAGGGTACCATGTCAATAGCAGAATATGAATCAAATTTTACCGAACTCGCCAGATATGCACCACACATGGTGGACACTGATTGCAAAAAGACCAGGAAGTTTGAAGGCGACCTTAATGTAGAGATACTTGACAGAATCAACGTGTTGAAATTACTTAAATATGTAGATGTTCTTGACCGAGCAATAATGGCCAAGTCAAATATCGAAGCATTGAAACAAACTGAAACACCAGCAACTGAATGGTGTGGTAAGAGACGGGGCTTTAAGTTTAAGAAAGGCCGAAATAACTCACTGAACAAAAGGCAAAATACAGGGTCAACAACCAGTTCTAGTCAGGGAAGTGGTTCCGTACCACCCTGCTCCGAATGTGGGAAAAGACATAAATGGGTTTGTTATAAAATTTCTGGTGCTTGTTACAGGTGTGGCAAGGTAGGCCATATGGTTAAAGATTTCCCTTTCCACAGCTCAAGGCAATAGTAAAGCTGCAGCTAGCGCCGCAGCATCAACTGCTCCACCGAAACCCAACCCCACAACTACCGGAAAAAGCCTCTATGGTAAGGCCGAGTGTTTGCACTTGTACCGGGAGATGTGCAGAATACCGAGACCGTTGTGTCAGGTATACTCGCAATTTGTGCTCAAAATGTTATGTTCTGATTGATTCGGGGTCTACAAATTCATATGTCTCGCATGCTTTTTCACGAAAACTAGATAAACTACTGGAACCCATGAATTATTTGTTAGCTGTATCTTCACCTGTTGGGGGATCCATGACTTGT